TTCTCAAATGGGGGCAGTTCTGTCCCCCAGAAGACATTTGGCATTTGTGGAGATGCTACTGGCATCAAGGGGGTGGAAATTACGGATTCTGACAAACATCCTACAATGCACAGGGCAGCCCCCGCACCAGCAAAGAATTATCCAGCCCCAAATCTCAATAGCATCAAGGCTGAGGAACGCTACTAACCAAACGAGTCCAGGCAAGGACTTCTATTTGAGGATACTTTAATGGAAAAAACAGCAAAACTAATAACCTCGTGTCAGTATCAATAAAATTGATAGGAGATAGGAAAATGAGAAAGAAATTTGAGGGGGTGCAATCTGAGTATCAGGATAGGAATCCTGAGTCTGCCCCTCAACTGTGTGATATCAGGTAAGTTATTTTGACTCTCAGAGCCTCAACAATGTAACCTTAATATGAGTATGGTGGTAACAATACCAAAGCAAGTACCCTCACAGGAGGGAGTGAGGCACATACACAGCAATGCGGATGAAGGTACTTACAGCATCAGTAAGCACTATAGAAATGTTTTTACTTTCAGTCCCTATAAAGAAAATGTTCTTTGGAATTTGAAACATTCAAATATAAAGAAAGAGTTTTCCCATCCAGTGTCCTTGAAGGGGAGGCACGTCTACATCTTTTCCATGATCTGAGTTGGGTGGTCAAGCAGGATTGAAGCACACGTCATCCGTGGACATTTTACTGACCGAGGAAAGGGAAACCAATCAAGAGCACTTCCATGAACTTAGTGTGCGATATCAAGGAAAAGGGAAAAAAAACATTGAGACTCTGCTCTCCTCAGCACCACCTGCCATGGGAAGATGGAAAGTCTTACACATTGAAGCTGCTTATCAGTCTTCATTTTCCAGGAAGCCTGGCTCTGACCTAAAAAGCCCCTTCCTGTACCACGTTCAACATTCTGAAAGCCCTGATGACATAACCAGTCACCTATTCACAGCAGAGAGAGGATCTTTAACAGCCCCAGTCAGCTCAGCCTCCCAGGGGACCTAGAGCTGGGGCTAAAATTAATTCCTCATGCTCAACTCACCGTTCACCTTCCCTCTCTTGTCCCCTCCACTGCATTGTGTCAAGACAGCAATTAGAGGCTTTATAAGGAACATTTGTCAGTGCCTGGATGATAACTCTGGGCTGATTCTTCTTTTATTTCCCTCTCCTGTTCCTTAGCCTTTCTATTTTCAGGTTCAAAGAAAGAAGCTGCTTTTGAGTTATATCTCCCAGAATTAAGTGATACAAGATTCTGATGGCTATAGAACTATTTTCATTTTGGATCCTTCCTGATTCACAAAAAGCCAACGCTACATGCCATGGGCCCAGCTGGCTTCTAAATACTTCACAGTGGGATGTTTCAGTAGAGCCACATAAAATCCTATAAATGAGTATAAGAAGGTTCTGGAGTTGACCCACTCATCCTGGTGCACAGGGACCTGGAGAGCAGACACGGTTTCCTGAGAGCATGCCTTCCGAGTGAGATGATGTAAGTGAATATTCTGTAGGAGTTATATTTCTCTACTGTTTAAACATTAGCTATAGACAAGTAGCACAACTGAACTCCTCTTGTTGGTTTATAGACTTATCACTATTGATAAAACAGAATGGCTTGGAAAAAGAATGGATACATCATTTTTGCAGAAACTGTGTCAAGATTGCATGAGCAGGTGGCTTTATTCTTTGATACCTAGATACAGGGGTTATTTTGATCTTATGGTTTAAAATTAAATAAATATTGCCAGATTGCTCTAATGGAGCTTTAAATTTAGCAAAATGGATCCTTTCAGTAGCACAGGGAAGCAGGTGGGAGAGAAAATAAGGTATCCAAGGCTGAAAAAGTGAGCCACTCCTAGGAAGTCCTAGTCCAACCAGAATGTTGGACTTCCCAAAGCCATTTTCCAATCTAGGCAATGGAGTAAGGTGACAGCTCCTTTAAATACTCAGTATTCTTTGAGTTGCTTCATGGAAGCACATTGCCATCGTTGTTAGGAGGACAGCTTCGTCTCATTACAAATGAGTCTTGTAGCACAGCTAAGAAAACTTTTCTTTTTTAAAAGAGGATTTTCGACTCCCCATCTCACAATAACCACCTTTGTGTGGTTACTGATCTTTGGAACATGATACTTTAAGAAAAGGAATAAATCTAAGATGACACAAGAAAGATGCTCATTTCTATCTATTCATCTTTCAAAATATCCCCCAATTTGCTATGGGAGCAATATTGGAAATTGTGCTCAGCTGGGAACAGGAGACTCTGGTCCTAGTTCTGTCCCTCATTTACTATTCTCTCGTGACTATTCTCTCATAGAAAAAACACAATATCTCCCTGGGTCTCATTTTAAATTTGAAATGGAGAATAAAAATACCTACCCTACCTAATTTACAGGCTATTTAATAGTCAAAATGAAGTAATCTATATGAGTGAATATATAATAGCAAAAAATGCTACTCACAGGTTTGGTAATCCTCATAGCTAACGTTCATTGAGTATTGACTTAACTGACCCAGCATTACGTTGGGTATTTTACATGCATATTCACATTAGCCCTAGAAAGTAAGTATTATCATCATCCCATCGTATAGACTCGGAAACAGAGACTTGGGAGGTTCAATATCTTGCCTAAGGTTTGGAACTGGATCACCAAATAGGAGGAATAAGCACTTACCTAGAGAACCAAGAAAGCAGAGAGGGTAACAAATGAGAATGTGGGGAGGAAGAATCTGCTATATTTTGAAAGCATTACAGTGATCATCAGAGAAGAAAAGTCAGAACTGTTAGAAATTCTTACACTTAGTTTATAGTTGTTATATTTTGAATTATTTGTGGGGACATGCACCAAATATTTTAGTGCTTAGGGTTTTCAAGGTCTTAATCTAGTGGGTCTCAGAATTATAGCTAATGGCACCAAGATGCCAACTCTAGCCAGTTGACTCCAAAGCCCATACTTATAACTGCTTTACTGTATCATGTCCTGTAATAATAACACATATTATTACCAAATGAGAGTTACCAACAGTTACTAGTAATAATGGTTTTCAGTGGGAAGCAATGCTATTAAAGAAAGGTTTGTTCTGTTTTGAAAACATAGGAAGCAACCCGTAATTTGGAACTAAACATGCAAAGAGATAGGCACACAGCAAGGGTCACTGGTTTTCTTACATATATGTGGTTTTAAAAATGACCATTAAAGAGCCTTCTCATTTCTGGCAGCAAACTCAGAATCCTATATTGGCTCAGGGCAAGTGGTTAGCATCAATTTAGAATCTTCGAAATTCCTAATAGAAACACAACAGACCCTACAGCAACAGTATCAGGGCCAATGATAATATGCATAGAGAGGGATTGATTTTTCTTATGAACAAACCAACAGTTTTTAAGATTTTAGGCTATTTAGATTCCTCCCATCGCTCATCCCCCAGAGTTTAAGAAGCATTAAAAAATCAGGTCTATTAGTGTCTAGTGCATTTGGATGATGATGAGAATTCACAGTAGCTGCTAACACCTCTGGCTTTCTTCAAAGGCTCAAAGATAAATGCACACGGTCATTTTTGTGCCTTAATCTAAGAAGTGCTAAGAGTAGTATGTGAAAAGACTCCCAGCAGAGACTGAGCTGGATATGGTACAGAGACTGAAATGGTAGATGAGTGCGTGGGGCTTTTTGCTTCAGTATTTTGGGGGTCTTGTATGCTCCTTGTGAATACTCCTATAATTCTTAAAGCAGACATAGGAAGACCCTGGCTAACAGAGGAAAAACCCAGTAGCACAGTTAGCTCTAACTGGCATTTAAAGAAAAGCAATGCTAACTTAGGCATGAAAAAATAATCACAGCCTTCAAGTCATTCAACATTCTTGGGCCACAAATAGGCAAATTTACGTATTTCTCTCAAGTGTGATGATTATCAGCTAAAGGGCTCTTACATTTCTGGAAATGTGCTTCCGGCTTCCTTACCTCTGTGCTCACCTCACTATAAAGGAAGTAAGAAGATAACAGTGAGAAAATGATGGGCCGTTTGGAGTGTAGGAGATAAGAGAGTTAGACATAGCATAAATGCCCACATTAGTGACAAGTTTGATATTCTGAGCTATTCTCTTGTATCTACCAGGTGATAATGTAATGATGGAGCAAAGGCCTTTAGCTAAAGTATTTTCCCTTCCATTCCTGGCACTTTTATGATCAGGGTTCAGGGCTCTTTCCTGGTAGAAGTGAGAGATGAGAGGGAAAGCTAAGGGATTATTTGAATGATCTTTTGAAAGAAGGCAACTTTTCCCCCCATTGTCCTTGATTTGGCCATCTGGCTCTGGGAGTTTGTTGGTGAATGCTCCTTGACTATAAAATTTAAACAGATGATTAACCCCTCTCCCTCCCACACCAGCATGCCTGCTATTAAAATGCCTACTAGGACCAACCTCTGAAAATCAAGGCAGGCTAGTGTAAGTGAGGGAGCAAAAACTGGCAAAGTCAACGAAAGGAATGCAATTCCACCCTTAGTTTTTCTCTCATTGTTACACTGACTTGATGTTCACCATCTCAAGTTTAGTAAACTTCCTTTCACAGTCTTTCTGCCATCTCTGGCCATCTGTATGTTCAATCACACCTGACTGAATGGCACCACAAAGCCCAGATCTCATATTGATTATTCCATGATTACTGACAATAGTTTAGTTTAGAGATGGTGTACCCTTCCCTCCATTGCTCATCATTTGCAGTGCCCCGGAAAATCCATAATCATTGTATTTGGTATGAGCCAGTCAGCAGTATTAATCAGATGGACAAAAGTAAGTGTTCAGTGCATAGTTAGTAAGTCTCCAGAAGCTCCCTGTACTGGACCAAGTCCGAAAGAAATCACTTATTTTTTCATCCAAAAAATATGAACGTGTGCTTAATATTCAGTGTTTTAATGATTTGGTGACAGTCACGAGAAAATCACCAGTTAGAAGTAAGAATGGGAGAACAAAAGAGAGTCTGGTCATTGACAGTAAAACATGTACCTGTGGGATAATGCTCATTCACTGGCCAGTTGTCCACCTGAAGCGTGGCATTGCCGCCGTTCCTGGTAAAACGCACCACGTGGTATTTGCCATCATTTACTGGGGTCCTCTCCTCTTTGATGGAGATGTCAACTGTGCCAATATTGAAGACAACTCCAATTTTCCCCTGTTCCTATAATAAAGAAACAAAAAAGGCAAGTTATCACTAACCACAAGGTTTTCTCCCTTTAAAGTTGATCCTCCAACTAACAATGAATCTGTAGATACCCAGAGAGAGCTGTCGGCTTGAAGTTAATAATAGTAGCCTACATTTCTCCATGGGCTTTCATTCTGAACATAAAAGCCAATGGTACAAAACCACCCAAATTGCTCTCAGAGGCTGCACTGCACAGGTTACATCATTTGATTGCCCTCAACAGATATCAAAGCTGGAACCACAGAACTACCTAACAAGTGAGTAATGACACTGCAAGGTTCTGTGAGATGAATTAGGCATGTTTTCTAGAAGAGGCTAATCAGACACTGAATTTTAGGTTACTTCACAATTCAGATTTAGGATTAAAGAGGAAATGCAAGCCTGCTTGCACTCTGGGGGGCAACCAAGGCCAAGAGGAGGTGTACAGAATGGTTAGGAGCCCAAACCATAGGAGCTACTAGCACTGTAGACTTACTCTTGGTGATACTTTCTGTAGGTATAAAGAACATAGGAAATGTATCCTCAGTGGGGCCCAGTGAAACTGAACTGGGGTTTTCCAAGTCAGATGCTGGCACCCTTCCCACACTTGTAGCCCTATTCCTAAGGTTAAGCCAAAGAAGGAGGTAATATTCAGTGCTATAGCTTTATGTTACACAGCAGAAGAGAACCTCTGTGGCCCTACCTAGACTTCTGGGAGGGAAAACACAATGAATTCCTGAAGAGTAACATTAGGGCAATGAAGGTGATGATTATGGTGATGGTGGTGGTGGTGACATCATCCACACCCTGGGAAGTGCCCAGAAACACTGAAATATAAACAAAAATGTTATTAAAACTCTTATTCTTCTCCTTTAATAACCTACGACTAAGAGTTGGAATTAGTATTCAGAAGAAGACACAAAATGAAAGTAACCTCACGGATCAGATATAATCAGTCTCTCACAACCTCTCTGAAAGGTATCAGCACACAGGGTGTCAGGAGGAAATGGGCAAGGAGAGAAAAGAAACATCTTTCTCCATTTCTCTAATAGTCTGGCTTATTGGCAAACAGTTGGACTTTCAAAAACAATAAAATTTAGTTGTGATTCTGATGTTCTACAAGACTGAGTCACAATATTTGTCCACATAGTCTCTGTTATCCTCTATTTCCTTCTATTCAAGAAGAAGAGAAGGAGGAAGCGGGGGAGGAAAGGAAGGAGGAAGATATGGCAAAAGAAGTCCAGAATCCACACAAACCAAGACACAGGAAAGACTTCACTGAATCTCAAGTTTAGTAATTTTGGTTCATTCATTCATTCATTCAATATATAAACACACTATTTATTAAGCACTCACTATGCTTAAAGTCAATAAATTGAGACTTCTGGTGAGATTTTAGGTACTGGTTTCCATATAGTTTGCTAGACTTCACTTATTTTTCCAAAAGACAGGCTTTCCTTAACTAGCCAATTTTCCTTTAGTTATGTGAACACATCTTGTGCCCAATAAAAGAATGAATAAGTACCTAGGAGCCTTAATCATAAAAAGTAGGAATCTAGGCTGATCAAAAGAGGCTGGACCAGCAATCCCACTACTGGGCATATACCCTGAGAAAACCATAATTCAAAAAGAATCATGTACCAAAATGTTCATTGCAGCTCTATTTACAATAGCCCGGAGATGGAAACAACCTAAGTGCCCATTGTCGGAAGAATGGATGAAGAAGATGTGGCACATATATACAATGGAATATTACTCAGCCATAAAAAGAAACGAAATTGAGCTATTTGTAATGAGGTGGATGGACCTAGAGTCTGTCATACAGAGTGAAGTAAGTCAGAAAGAGAAAAACAAATACCGTGTGCTAACACATATATATGGAATTTAAGGGGAAAAATGTTATGAAGAACCTAGGGGTAAAACAGGAATAAAGACACAGACCTACTAGAGAACGGACTTGATGATATGGGGAGGGGGAAGGGTGAGCTGTGACAGGGCGAGAGAGAGGCAGACATATATATACTAACAAATGTAAGGTAGATAGCCAGTGGGAAGCAGCCGCATGGCACAGGGAAAACAGCTCAGTTCTTTGTGGCTGTCTGGAGGGGTGGGATAGGGAGGGTGGGAGGGAGGGAGACAAAGAGGGGCAGGGAGATCGGCTCAGTGCTTTGTGACCACCTGGAGGGGTGGGATAGGGAGGGTGGGAGGGAGGGAGACGCAAGAGGGAAGAGATATGGGAACATATGTATATGTATAACTGATTCACTTTGTTATAAAGCAGAAACTAACACACCATTGTAAAGCAATTATACCCCAATAAAGATGTTAAAAAAAAATAAAAATAAAAAATACCCAAGAATTACCATATGACCCAGCAATCCCACTACTGGGCATATACCCAGGGAAAACCTTATAATTCAAAAAGACACATGCACCCCAATGTTCACTGCAGCACTATTTACAACAGCCAGTTCATGGAAGCAACCTAAATGCCCATCGTCAGAGGAATGGATAAAGAAGATGTGGCACATATATACAATGGAATATTACTCAGCCATAAAAAGAAACGAAATTGAGCTATTTGTAATGAGGTGGATAGACCTAGAGTCTGTCATACAGAGTGAAGTAAGTCAGAAAGAGAGAGACAAATACCGTATGCTAACACATATATATGGAATTTAAGAAAAAAAATGTCATGAAGAACCTAGGGGTGAAACAGGAATAAAGACACAGACTTACTAGAGAATGGACTTGAGGATATGGGGAGGGGGAAGGGTAAACTGTGACAAAGCGAGAGAAAGGCATGGACATATATACACTACCAAACGTAAGGTAGATAGCTAGTGGGAAGCAGCCGCATAGCACAGGGAGATCAGCTCGGTGCTTTGTGACCGCCTGGAGGGGTGGGATAGGGAGGGTGGGAGGGAGGGGGATGCAAGTGGGAAGAGATATGGGAACAAATGTATATATATAACTGATTCATTTTGTTGTGAAGCTGAAACTAACATACCATTGTAAAGCAATTATACTCCAATAAAGATGTTAAAAAAAAAAAAAGAGGTTGATTTCAGCATGCAGGGATGCTGAGATACAGGGTGGACATCATTGCTTCCTTTGTGCCCTGATAGCACAGCACACAATGTAAAATGGTGTCTGCAATTCCCATGTTCTGTTCTCTGGGAGAAGCAATTCAGGTGCCTCCCCAAATGATGACTAAACATACTCATTTTCTTAAGTTTCTAAGAAACAGGATTTCTTAAATCCCTGTTTATTGAGACACTTCTCAGCTTGGTTTTGTTTTGTTTTCCTATCTCTGCACCTCCAGCACTAAACAAAATACCTACTATTAAAACATGATGCATGGATAAGTGAACCTGGTGGTCGGTTCTTTTGCATCTTTCATGCCCATAATTAATAATATTATGATCCATTTTATTCTTTCTCCTTAATTCTCTGGGAATGCAGAAATGACAATATGACTTTTCTGCTTTTTCTTAAAGAGTTGGCATGCACTTCTAAGGATGTGTGTGTGTGTGTGTTTGTGTGTTGGTACCTAATCACCCTCGTGCCTAAATAAGCAAGGCTATAATAACCTGAGTCATAATCTCAGGTGAAAAAACTATGACTGCAGACACCATTACTCCTCTGCCCACCCCACAAATGTGGACTGTTTATTGCATCACTGTTCCTCAATGAGAAACCACTGTATAAATTCTGGATGCATGTAAAGGACTGCTGGTGATTCAATTCACCTCAGTCACTAATTAATCATGGATGGAGGACAGTTTTAGGGGGAGAGAGGAGACCTTTAGACCAGCCTTCTGCAGCTTTTCAGCAGCAGCATTGGCAAAGTATAGTTCTGGCTCACGGAGTAGGCTGATCAGTGAGATATATTCTTGGGCAGATTTTCTGCAAGATCCATAATAGATTCAGGAAAACAGAAGATTTAATCTCTGCCAGAATAAATATTTGGTCCGTATCTTAGGCACCACACATTTGCTATCGCAATCACTGTTTTGGGGAGGTCTTCTTAATCCTGCTAGCACGTTGCCAATGTCAGTGGAGACCCTTACTCAGATGTTTCATTGTGTTTCCTGCAGTGGTAAATATGCCTGTACTGGACCTCAGATGTGGTCTCTTCACTCGCAGTAATGAAATTTCTAATGAGATTTCATTACTGCAACCTCCTTGTCATTTGTCATGGGACCACAGTGGCATTATAATCTGTGGCTAACTGCTTTGTCTCAGTTTATTATAAGCTTTGTGACAAATACCCAAACAGTTGCCCAGGCTTGAATCCATCATGCTCAGCTGCCATGAAAATAAAGTGTGTTGGCTCATGTGTCCAGAGAAGAGATGATGTGAAGGATAAAAAGCACTGGCTTTGGAGTCAGCCCTGACTAACCTGGGGCAAGTTACTTAACTTTTCTGAACCCATTTCTTGATAATATATTATGGGGATAGGATACCAGTTTTACATACTTTGGAGGGCTGTTATAAGGCTGAAATGTTATAATTAATATGACAGTACTTTATGAATAATAAAATATTATACCAATATAAGGTATACATGAAATCAAGAGAAGGAAACCATCCAATCATTTGACTATTTAAAACACTGTGATTGCTGGAGAAGTTCACTGGCTCAATATGATAAACATGGGTTTTAGCATATCTTGGTTCAAATAATACCTCTGATTCTTAAAGCTGCATGACCTGGGGCAGGTTGTTTAACTTCTGGTGTTTCTTTTATAAAGGATCACGTGGAGGGAGAAAGGCAAATTGCAGTGAGGATTTTAGGAGAACACATATGTGTGAAGCACCTGGCACAAAGCTGTGCATATTTGGGGACCTCAATATTTTGGGACCTCAATAAATGTAAGTCACCTCTTCTCTTTCTTCCCCCCGCCCCATTAGTGTAGTTGACACTAGTGGCATAAGCCAAGGGCTGGTTGGCTTGGCAACACTGTCATTAAGAAATATTGTAAAAATAAATG